AATTATAAAAAGCAAATTATAAGGCAGTTGTTACCATATGATTTTTTTTTCAATGGGAAATATGTGTGTGTGTGTGTGTGTGTGTGTGTGTGTGTGTGTGTGTGTGTTGTGGCTCAGTGGATTGAGCGTCATCCCATGGACTGAGAGGTCCCAGTTTGATTCCCGGTCAGGTCACATGCCTGGGTTGTGGGCTTGAGCCCCAGTGGGAGGTGTTCAGGAGGCAGCCGATTGATGCTTCTCATTAACATCAATTTTTCTATCTCTCCCTCCCTTCCTCTTTCTCTAAAAAGTCAATAAAAATATTTTTTTTAAAAATTTATTACTGAATGCATATACACTTTGATATTTAATGATTAAATCTGGAAAATGGAGTGCAGTTTTTCTTCTTTTTTCTTTAATTTGATATGTGTTTCTTAAATTTCTTATATGCAATATCTGTTAGTTTTATAATAAATTATAAAGTTCATTTTAACAAGAAAATACATGCAGGACAAAATGTAATGACATAGGAACGACGATCATGATATATTAACTTTTTAAAAGTAGCTTGCAAAACAACCTGTGCAATAAGATACCATTTTACTTTTTTTTTTTTAATGTGTATTGAAAAAAAAAAATTTCTAGTATATAATCAGTATAAGCATTTTGAGGTACCTCCAGATGTCACTATAGAAGATATTTTTTATAGTTTTCAAATTTTCTCCAATAACCATGGTTTGTTTTTTTAATCAAAAAATCAATATGAAAGGCTATATTTTATGTTTTTCTCCAAATCCATTCTAATTGTTTAACAAGACTACAATTTATGGAAAAGCAAAAAGATTACATATTACCTTCTTATTGTAAAAACAGATTAGAAAAAATATGATAGTGTTTCTATGAAAAGCAAATATCACAGAATTAGAAATTTTGTGTAAAACTATGAAACTCTGTAAATATACTACATAAAGCTCTAAATGAGCTCTACAAAGAGTCAGTCAAATCTCCTTGTTATATGTCTATCTATTTGATAAATAGGTAGATATAGTAAAATAAAATAATTGCAAATGGTTAATAAGAATGATTAAAAACAAATATGCTAACACTGGTCATCAATACAGCAAGACCAAAACACACACAAAAAAAGAATAAGGATAAATTATTTGGCAGTGTGGCAATACCAAAAATCCTGACCCAAACTCCTAAATATATATGAAGATGAGCAAATCAATTAATCTCACCAAGTTTCAGATTTCTCAGTTTTAAACTTCCAGCAAAAAAATAAACTCTTTGGCTTTACAAGTGCAGTAAGGACTTCCGGTCAAGATGGCGGCGTAGGTAAACAAGGTATCGCGTCCTCCCACAACCACATCAAAGTTACAACTAAACTACAGAACAACCATCATCCAAAACTGCCTGATATCAAGCTGAATGGAAGTCCTACAACTACGGAATTAACAAAAAAAAAAAAGCAGCTACATCCAGACTGGTAGGAGGGGCGGAGGCGCGAGGGGTGGCGGCGGTGGCGGAGCGGAGGCGCGAAGGGCTGGTCCCACACCCAAGTGTGGCGGATAAAAATCAGGAGGCTCCCGCGGCTGGGAAGGTCCTTCCTGAGGACTGAGGGGTCCCCGTCCCACACCAGGTGCCCCGCTCAGGGTTCCAGTGCCAGGAAGAGAAGTCCCCATAACTTCTGGCTGGAAAAACCAGTGGGAACTGAGGCTCAGGGAAGCTGAAGCGGCTGGAGCCCCAGGCAGCTCCCTAAGGGGCCCGCGCACGGACTTATCAGACTCTCTCCCTCTAAGCTCGGAGGGGAGGCAGCTCAAGGGGCACCAGAGACATACAGGGAAGAACTGAGCTGTTTGGCACTGGAGCGAGGGCTGGAGAGGGGGCTTCCTCGGGGACAAACGTGCTGTAAGAGGCCTTTGTTCCTTTGGTGAGCCCTTCCCAGGGGCGGCAGACAGAAGCCATATCTGGGACTCCAGCAACCTGGCTCACACTGGTAGCCCCGCCCTGCTGACTCCCTGAGGCCCCGCCCCGCCCCGCCCCACACAACTTTCAAGCCCACCCAAGCTGTTGGCACTTGCTTAACCATAGGATTGGCCGGTCTTGGATCCTGCTTCAGGTTTTTCCTAAATTCTTTCAAACGAGCAGCATCGGGTCTCAGTGAGCCCCTACCTCTCATTAAGTAATACACAGAAACAAACACAGGGAGGCAGCCAAAATGAGGATACAAAGAAACAGGTCCCAAATGAAAGAACAGAACAAAACCCTAAGAAAAGAACTAAGCGAAATGGAGATAAGCAACCTAACAGATGCTGAGTTCAAAATACTGCTTATAAGGATGCTCAATGAACTCAGTGAGGGCCTCAAGAGCATAAAAAAGGACCAGTCAGAAATGATCGATGCACAGTTAGAAACGAAGGAGGCTTTAACTGAAATAAAGGATAATTTACATAGCTTCAATAATAGAGTACGTAAATCCAAGGAGCAAACCATCGATTTGGAATATAAGGAAGCAAAAAACGCCCAATCAGAACAGCAAAAAGAAAAAAGAATTCAAAAAAATGAGGATAGCGTAAGGAGCCTCTGGGACAACTTCAAGCGTGCCAACATTCGCATCTTGGGGGTGCCGGAAGGAGAAGAGAGAGAACAAGAAATCGAAAACCTGTTTGAAACAATAATGGCAGAAAACTTTCCTAACTTGGTGAAGAAAACAGACATACCAGTCCAGGAAGCACAGAGAGTCCCAAACAAGATGAACCCCAAGAGGCCCACACCAAGACACATCATCATCAAAATGCAAAAGATTCAAGACAAAGAGAGAATCTTAAAAGCAGCAAGAGAAAGGCAGCTAGTTACCTACAAGGGAGTTCCCATTAGGCTGTCAGCTGACTTCTCAAAAGAAACTTTGCAGGCCAGAAGGGAGTGGCAAGAAATATTCAGAGTGATGAAAACCAAGAACCTACAACCAAAATTACTCTATCCTGCAAAGCTGTCATTCAGAATCGATGGACATATAAAAACTTTCCCAGACAAGAAAAAGTTAAAGGAGTTCATCACTACCAAACCGTTATTATATGAAATGATGAAGGGTCTTTTTGAAGAAAAAGATAAAATGTATGAACAAACAAAATGGCAATGAATACATATCTATCAACAATGGAATCTACAAATAAAATGAACAGGAAGAACAGAAACATTCTCATAGATACAGAGAACATTTTGTTGGTTGCCAGTTGGGAAGGGGGTTGGAGGAATGGGTGAAAAAGGTGAAGGGATTAAGAAGCACAAATTCATTGCTAGACTGACAAACCTCAAAGGGAAAGGGGTTGGGGGGGGGGGGGAGAGATAAACCAAAGAAATTATATGCATAACCAATGGACACGGACAATAGTGTGGGAAAAGGTGGGAGGGGGGCGGGAGTGGGGAGGAGGGGGTCAATGGGGGAAAAATGTGGAACATCTGTAATACATTTTACATCCAACAATAAAGATGTGAAAATAAATAAATAAATAAATAAAAGTGCAGTAAAATATATATACAAATGTAAAGAATTTTCATATAACTAACCTAAAAACCCTAAAGTAGTTTCAAAATTAGTATCTAATTAAAGATAAATGTAGATGGTAATGACATGAGACACACACAAAAATTTTTTTCAAGAAACAAAGGTAAAGAGAAAAAAGCTGACATCGTTGATAATGAAGAATTTATTTTATAGGGAATCAAGGCTCAGAAAAATTTAGTAGCTGTTTTCCTATTCTCATAAGGTCAAAAAAACTGGGGACCAAATTTCTAAATTTTGGCTGTGAGCCCCAAGTCTTACTAATCACCCAGTAGCACTTCTCCACATGGAGAAACTGATATAGCATTAACAAATTCTTTATCAAAATCAACACTTTGTAACATTGAGAAAATTAAAAGTGTTGTAATCTATAAATGCCCCAGCCTGTTCTGTTAAAACTTTATCCCAATTTGACACTATGTTAAAAACCATGTTCAAAGAAACCTCTGCTACAATTTTTAAGCCATATATTTTCTTCCAGCTCTTAGAAAGTGTGCGTGTTCTTATAACTTTTCATGATATTTATACACATTCTTCATGGAAATATGCATGATGCAGTCACTTTGTTTTCCCAATAAGGGAGAGAACATGATTTAAATGTTTTATTTTTCAGTACAAAACTCTCCAGTCCCTTACATCAACTTTCACTGGCTTTCCGTCACCTTAAAATTTCACCTTCTCTCCTCATCTCCTCCACCAACACACACACACACACACACACACACACACACACACACAATGCCAGACTTTTTAAAAATAAACATAAAATCACCTGAGGGTGACAAAATTGTAAACTGCTCCCCTCCATCAAAAAAAATAAAATTTGGAAAAATTCATAAAAAAAATAAAATAAAATTTGGTAAAGTAATAAGAGAAAACATTAGACGTTCTAATCAAAGTCTGGTAACTTTTTCCTAAGTCAATGTTACTTTCCAAAATAATAACAAAACAAAACACGATTATAATAAGCCAGTTCTCCTAGTTAACCATTATAAAAGAGAAGCAAATGCCTTAAAAAAACAAGTCCTTGCCTATCAAAATATTTTATTTTTTACCTTATTACAAGTTTTCTCAGTATCTCAGGGTTGCTTCTCTCCCAATCATCATCAAACCATCCAATAAACATCTTTGTCAAACACACTATCTCTTCAGCTCATAAATAGCAACCTGGTTCCTGTCCACATAAAGAGCAGTCTAAATATTTAATCAAATACCTTAACTTCAGGAATTAGCTTCTCCCCTTTGTCCTTTGCTGGCCACAGTATCTTCATTGGAAGCTCTATTGCTGTCATTATTTCTAATTTGAAATCATCCTCTACCTCCACACCCTTCCACGAAGGAAACATAGCTTTTATCTTTGTCTTGCACATGCACACCATAGTGGGAGTTAAGAAGTAAATTGCCTTTTGCAATTTCTTTCAATAATAAAATAGCAAATAAACAAGAAGTCTTCTCAATTACAGGATACAAATGCACATTCAACACTCAAGTCAACCACTGAATCTCACTGTTACTCTATTTTCCTAATGCATCATAGTTTCAAAAGGTAGAGAAAAATCTCACAACTTGAGGGGAAATTATCTGAAGGTAAAGAGATGCTACATTTGATACCTCACACAAAGTTTATGTCAGTTCTGAATAAAATACTGCAACTTTGGGTGTTTCTGTTCTCAGGTCCAAGAAATGGAGTTACAGAGTTCCTTGTGAGGTCATTGCCAACTTCAGGGTAAGTCTTAATGAAAGAGAATGAATGATGGAAGACACTATTAGGTTCTTTTTAGAATGAAAATAAAATGTTTTGATAAGCAAATACTCAAGGTTGTTAGCACTTTCTACAGAACTCCGAGATTGAAAAAAACGTTACAAAGTCAAATTAAAATAATAACAGCTAATTTATAAAGCAGTTATAATGCAGCAAGCATTATTCTAATTGCTTTACATACATTAACTTATTTAGTCCTCAAAACAAACAACCCATATAGGAGTAGGTATTATTATATAGAAAATTATTATCAGTATCCCCATTTTACATATGAGAAACTAGGCACACAGAAATTAAATTATACCATTAATGATGAAGTGAGGATTTAAATCTAGGCAAACAAACTTTCAAGATCAAGTTCTTAACCACTACTTAACCTCTTAACCATCATAAATAAATCTAATTGAGGTTTTTTGTTCCTTGAAATTGTCACCTTCATTTCATGTATAATTGGAAATATACATTAAGATTAAAACCTGTCTCCCCAAGAAATGTAGTTATGGACCATTAATACAATGGTGTTTTGGCTAATTACAGTATTAACTTCTATGCAATTCCATAAATCAGTAACTTTTGATATAGAAAATTTAGCAAAGAATACACTAGTGATTCTATGAATTATGAAAGAGAGGTCTATTTAACAATAATAAGAATTGTTCCGCCCTGGCTGGTTTGGCTCAGAGGTTGGAGCGCCGGCCTGTGGTCCAGAGAGACCCGGTTTGGTTCCCGCTAAGGGCACGTACCTCGGTTGCAGTTTGTCCCTGGCCCTGGTTGGTCGTGCAGGTGGCAGCCACTCCATGTGTCCCTTTCACGTCGATGTTTCTCTCTCTCTCTTCCTCTCTCTCCCTCCCGCTCTATCTGAACAAAAAATGGAAAAATGTCCTTGGGCGAGGATAAAAAAGAATTGTTCCTTTGTTGGTAGATTATTTTTAATGTCATTCTTTTAGGATTAAGTTGGTCTGAATAATTCAGTTCCTTAGACACTTCCACACTTTAATCATTACATTTCTCCACAGATCCCTTGTACAGCAGTATCTCCATAGTAGAGCAAGGAGGAGAATTAGAAAAGAAGCAAAACCCAAAACAGATGTCTCCAGGAATGTAATACACTAAAGTTTACTTTTTTTTTTTTTTAAAGGACAATTCCTGAGCTCAGAATCTACTCACTCTTACTTCACATATTATTACAGCACTTTTGATTATGTGAGGAGCATACTTGGGCTCAAATCCTGAATCTACCATTTACTAATAGTATCATCTTGGGCAATATATTCATCTTCTCTGAGTCTACGTATTTTTTATCTGTAAAATAGTTTACCTCACTGGAACGTTGCAGGAATAAACCCAACTGACACAGTATATATAAAGTCCTTAGCACGGTGCCTAGCATATAGTTAGTGCTCAATAAATGATTTTTGTTATGTAAAAAAATTATCTAATAACAATTTACTGTAATAATTAAATAACATGAGTTGTGTGAAGGCACCTACATTAGTACCGTACAACAAAACAGAACTATTAAATGTTTGTTTCCCTCTCTTCTTATCTAATTGAACAGCCCATAGACAAATAGAAATAACAGCTTATAGAAGTTCAGAAGGAGAATTAATATTACTAAAAGCAAAACAGTAGTTACAGAGAAATGACAGCTTAAAGTCTTCAAAAAATAAAAAGGCAAAGACGGAAAATCCAACATGCAGACACAGAAACTCACAAAGCACAGCATTTTGGGGGCTACTCATTATAGAGATAAGTAGCCTTCATAGACCCTCAACTCAAGGAGCATCTCAAGGAATCAGATATCCATAATGATAACTCTGAGCCATCAAGACAAACTATTAAGAAATTAAAATTTTAAATTATAATTTAAAACTAGGTATGCTATAACCCCAACTACATATACATTACATCAAAATTTTAACAGGGACTTTCTCTGGTAATGGAATTATGGGTGATGGTGATTTTAAACATTTTCTTCTTTAATTTGTTTATATTTTCTAAACAATCAACTGTTTAGGAAGTCAGAATTAATAGGTAAAATTAAAAATAAGGTAGGTGCTTAAAGAGGCAGTCTTTGGACCTCTAAGAAATTCATGAATGTGTAATAGAGGGATTAACTCATTCTGTATTGAGTCCCTTATTCAAATAGCTGCATTGATCCCAGTACCAAAAAGGCATTACAAAAATGCAACTGATGTAAAAAGAATTGATTAAATACTGTACAATAAATTTACTTGAAAAAGAAAAAATGCTAAAAGTAGAATTCATCGTAGAGGTACTACTTTAAATAGCAAGTCAATATCAACACAAAGCTTATAACAGGAGCAACATATGATTATCTCTATCTTTGCTTGCAACAATTTGACACACCCTCCCTTTAGGGTAAAAAAAAAAATGTTTAAACTCTAGGAAAAGAGCAAAATAAACTGATAAAATGGAGTAATTTCAGAAAGCTTAGTCATAAGTGAAATGCACTTTTTTTTTTTACCTTCTAAAATAGAAATTAGAATGCTATAGGCAAATTTATATATTACTGAGTAATCACTGACTGCACAGCTGGAAAAGAAAGAATAGGTGGCAGCACAAAAAGCAAATTAAAATATTAGAAATGAACCTCTGACAAGTTTTCCTCTTTCTGATCTGTAGTGTACATCTCTCTTTGGAACTGTCACACTGAAAACTATGTACAGTTAGTAGAGAACATGCTGGAGAACCACACAGCAGATCCAAGAGGACTTTTTCACTGAGAGAAAGTGCTTCTTTCTAGACATATAAACCATTTTTCTATTTCTTCATAAGTAGAGTTCTAATTTTAAAAGAGAGAAAAGTAGAAGTAGAAACAGGCACAAGGAGTGGAACACTGGAAATTCTTGATTCCTTTAGTATTGGTATTATCAGTAGCTAGGACAGATTTGACAGGGACTAAATGAAACACAGCCACACAGTTAATCTGGGATCAGACTTTAGATTATGAGCCTCCCCATTCCCAGTTAATATTCATTCACCCTTTCCATAGTTGCCCCTAAAACTTGGTACCTCCAGCTCTAATTGGCACATTAGCTGGTTCAGCTGTGACTACTGCATTTCTTTTGTTGAACTCCGATTGTCAGTGGGCTAAAGACAATGAACACCATTAATGCAAGAGGAATCTATATATTGTAATAATAGAAGAGTAAGTCTAAATCATGCCTGTAAATTATTTTCTGATGTGCATTTTATTTTTGGAAAACAAACAAAAATGCTCTTTAGGTGTGCTTTATTCTCCTAAATGTCATTATTTTCATGTCTTATTTCCATAACTTAAATATACAAATAAATATAATATTAAATATTTCTATCACTGTTTACTTCCAATAAACAAAATGGTGAAGAAAAATAAAACAAATGTCTTTCCTTTATTATTATGTTTGGGAGCATATTTTAATCCATTTTTATTTAATCCATTTTAAATTTGATACATCCAAGTCTTAGAAATGCAAACTCTTGTGATCACAAGAGACACTGAGTTTTTCACGGTGCTTAAAGGAAAAAGGGCATAATAAATAAGTTTCTGGTTCTGATTTATTTTCTGCTCTTTTGAATTAATTAATGCTGTGGAAATCCCAGGCAACCGCTGTATCATTTGTGACTGAAATGAGTCTAAAGGAGAAAAATATGTAAAGCATTATTTAATAAAAACTTTCATTTTTCTCTCCCACTTCCTATCTTACTAGCTAATAGTCACTCAAACTAAAAGGACAGTCTCATGTATGCTGCTCTCGAATTAATTGCCTCAGGCCACCTTGGTACCTTCAGAGATCTGTAGTTTCTGGAGCCATATTGTTCTCTGGGGTCAATCCACTGGGTATGATTTCCAAGTTCCTGGTCTTATTTCAAAGCTGTTTTTGGCAAACTAAAAAACTACTAAGAATTGGTATACATCTAGCTCTTTTCTAATTATGTAATTTTTTTCTGTATTTTATTTTTTCCCATCACCATTTATCCCCCATATCCTCTTCCACCTCTACCCACCTCCCTTCCCACTGCAATCACCACATTGTTGTCTGTGTTCATGAGTTCTTTTTCCTTCTTGCTCAATCCCTCCACACCCCCAATACCCCTCACCAGAGCTGTCTGCTTTCTCTCTATGAGATTGTCTCTATTTTGCCTGTTAGTTCATTAAATTCCACACATGATGAAATCCTATGGTACTTGTCTTTTCTCTGACTGGTTCATTTCACCTAGCATAATGTTCTCCAGGTCCATCCATGCTGTCGCAAAGGGTAAAATTTTCTTTCTTTTTACAGTCGAGTAGTATTCCATTGTGTAAATGTACCACAGCTGTTTTATCCACTCATCTACTGATGGGCATTTAAGCTGCTTCCAAATTTTGGCTATTATAAAAAACACTGCAATGAATATAGGGTGCATATATTTTTTTCAAATTAATGTTTAGTTTCTTTGGATATATTCCCAGAAGTAGAATTGCTGTGTCATAGGGCAGCAACGTGAGAACACAGGGAATATACCTCAACATAACAAAGGCCATATATGACAAACCCACAGACAACATCATACTCAATGGGCAAAAAACTAAAAATATTCCTTTAAGAACAGAAACAAGACAAAGATGTCTACTTTCACCGCTCTTACTCAACATAGTACTGGAAGTCATAGCCACACTAATCAGACAAGAAGAAGAAATAAAACACACACAAATTGGAAAGGAAGAAGTAAAACTGTCGTTATTTGTAGATGGTATATAGAGAACCCAAAAGATTCCACCAAAAAAATATTAGAACTGATAAATAAATTCAGTAAAGTAGCAGGACACAAAATAAATATCCAGATATCAGTTGCATTTTCATACACCAATACTAAACTATTAGAAAGGGAAACTAAAAAAATATCTTATTCACAATTGCTTTAAAAAGAATAAAATACATAGGAATAAATTTAACCAAGCATATAGCTCTTGAAAAATGCTAGTGAAAAAAATGTTTGTCCTCATATATGTGGTTTTGCATTTAATTTAAGAAATAGGGTAATAATAAATGTTGGAAAAGAAATCCATTCTATTTTCATTTTATTGCAGTGCAAAAAAAGCAAAACAAAGAAAGGTTTACTTTTCTGATGCTAAATTGAGGACACCACAGTGGGGAATTTTTTTTTTTTTTCTTTTTGCTACCTGAGTTGTGGTCTTAAAACATAAAATCTGATCATCTCAATCTCCTGCTTAAAACCCTTTGTTATTTCCTCATAATCTGCAGAATAAACTCCAAATATATCTTATAAACCATCTTTTAAATATTACCTTCTGACACACACATTTAGCAAATTAAGACTTGATCTTCTCTATATATTCTCTGAAGTTATTGAATCTGGAAATTTAACCCTTCCACCAAATTTGGGAAAGTTGGGGCATTATTTCTTCAAGTGGGTTTTTTTCTGTCTTAATATTGCTCTCCTTTTTTTCTTGGACTTATATATGTTAGACTACTTAATATTTTATTTTTATTTTTTATATAATTTTCTTTATTGATTTTAGAGAGAGAGGAAGGAAGAGGGAGAGAGAGATAGAAACATCGATGAGAGAGAACATCGATTGGCAGCCTCCTACATGCCCCGCACTGGGGATTTGTCTCACAACCTGGGCATGTGCCCTGACTGGGAATCAAACTGGTGACTTCTTGGTGCATGGGACGATGCTCAACCACTGAGTCACACCAGCCAGGCTGGACCGCTTAATATTATCTCACATATCCCTCATACTATATTCATTTTTTCTAATTCTTTTTTCTGTGTGTTCTTTCAATTAGATAATTTTTAATTATTTTTTTTTCATTTTCACTGACTTTTTTCTCTGTCATTTTCATTCTACTGATTGGCCCATCGAGTTATTTTCTTATGTTAGATATTATATTTTTCAGCTTTAAGTTCCCGTTTGGTTCTTTTTGTGCTTTTGTTCGCTCTCTGATACCTTCAAATAGTTGTTCTTCATCATTTGTTCAGAGTTCACAGTTGTTATTCCCCACTCAATTTTAAATGGATTAATTTATAGCAGCCTTTTTAAACTACCAAATAACCTCTGATACTAAAGACTTCTAGTATTGGCTTAATGAAGAATTAAATGATACGATTTTTTTTATTCCTCCATACTTTTGCACAGTCTATACTTTTGCCTACAATGTTCTTAATTCTCAGGACCCTGCCATGCACACATTTTCTATGCCCATGTTAGTAGAACACAATCAAGTTTCGCCATTCCCCAAGTTTTAAATATTTAACATTTTAACTGAGAACATTTAAATTGGAACTAACTCACATGTCTACCAATATAGCAAAGGTATATACATAGCATAAAGTACTACACAGAAGAAAATAATGTAAAGCTATATAAATTGGCAAAGAAACCTAAGTCATAATTTTAATGAAAAAGGGATAAAGTATAAAGCAATGTGTGTAAAAAGGGGGAGTATTACCCTCACACAAAATAAAACTGCATATTTTTGTATAATTGTGTATATTTATATATGCTTATATACAAAGAGGTCTACAAGTGTTGGCGAGGGTATGGAGAAAAGGGGACTCTAGTACACTGCTGGTGGGAATGCAGACTGGTGCAGCCACTATGGAAAACTATATGGTGCTACCTCAAAAAGTTAAAAATTGAACTTCCATTTGATCCAGTGATCCCACTTCTAGGAATATACCCTAAGAAGCCTGAAACACTAATCAGAAAGAATATATGTACCCCTATGTTCATAGCAGCACTATTTACAATAGCTAAGATCTGGAAACAACCCAAGTGTCCATCAGTAGATAAATGGATAAAAAAGCTGTGATT